TGTTTTTCCAATGAAGAATCTCACCGGACTAAAACTCAAGCTTCCTTGTTTCAAACAGTCAAACAAGCTAATCCAGCAACAAAGCTCCACATCAGCAGTTTGAATGTCTGAGGTGTTCTCATCAGGATCAGGATCATTCATTAGTTGGAAGCACAGTTATCTGTGTAACTCTCGTTTGGATTTCTTCTATTTAAACATGTAATCTGTGCGACTCCGGCTGTGGCTCCAGACTTGTGTGTTTGCCACTTCTCGAAGAAACAAACCAGACCAAGATCTAAAGACAAATCCAGTCCCATGTGATGTGAAACAATACTTTTTCATTGCACTCAGTGGCAAAGTGAACAGGGTCCAGATTAAACCCTGGCTAAGAACACTTGAGGCAGGATCAATACATGGAGACAAGCCTACAGCGGTTAATTAGTGGCCTGAAATTGCCGCGGAGGTCTGGACACGGAGAGCTGGCGACGTGTTGAGTGTCATGCTGATGGATGGTTAGCGCTGGCCTCTGTCCGGGTTGACTGAGTGCTGGGTGTCAGAGATGCAGTCACACAATTCAACACAAAGCTGTTAAATATCACCTTCAACCAGAGGTGGTCGTCATCATCATTACAGATCCCACTTTTAAAGAATCATTTTTAACTGTTAACTGTCACAGTATTAGTTCTGTCATTACAAAAGCTTAGTGTCACTGACTGAACGGCTCAGTTTGTACAGTTTGTGGTTAAGCTGCACAACCTGCTCCGTTACTACGGTGGCCCTGAGGGCTCAGTGCACTGCACCTGAAGACTACACGTGCAAATAGATGATTTCACGACACATGTGCTGCTAATACTCACAACACAACCAAACAAACAAATGTGCTGCAAGTAGCATAGAGGACAACTGAAGTGTTTCCACAGGACACTAAAAAGTGATGAACCCAGCTGGGACGCACGTGTTGTTCAATTTTTTATTTAACCTTTATTTATTCTGGTAAATCTCATTTTCAAGAGAGACCTGAATGTACATGAAAAAATAATAAAAATGATTCAATGAACAGATAGTCCAAAAATAATTTACAATACAATTTAAATAAACAATAAAATGAAAAACACAAGGAAAATTTAAAACATATAAGATGACAAGATTAGAAAACACAGTTTCAGTCTCATCAGTTGAAACCATTGCATTGTGTTCTGGGACGGTTTAAAATCTTGTTTCTAAAATGAGGAAAACGTATTAAACTATCCATTTTTAAATTGCTCTGCAGCTTCTTCCATGTGTCCGGGACATTACATCCAAACGCAGTCTTCCCAAATTCAGAGTTAACCTTCCCGACATGGAGTGTTAGCCGATCATGTGACTGAGTTTGGTGCGTAGCAACTGATCTGACCAAGACAGACGTAATATACGATGGTGATTTCCCAATAAGGGCTTTGTAAATGAACAGGTACCAATGCATGCCATGCCCTTGTGACTTCTGAAGTTAAAAGCATTGAACAAGTGCACATGGATGTATCATAATTGCATTATTGTGTTTTGTCTGTTTGCATGTTTTTTCCTTTAGTTGCAGTGCGTTGAGCTCTCCGGGCCACCGTACTTTACAACTAGACCTCCCTTCAGTTATTTGTTTCCCAGTGTCTGTCCCGAAATGGCAAAATCATCAGTTTTCCGTCTTTTTAAAGGTAAGTGGATAAGTGAGCACTCCAGGGTGCTCTTGTACTAAGACAGTGAATGATGGTCGATGGGTCAATATTAGATTTCCTTCTAACATTAATTCATTCTGTGTAGAGCCTCTGCAGTAGCTGT